CGGGGCTGCGGGGCGGGCGGGGCCGTGCCTCCCGCGCTGCTATAAAGGGCGCCACCGGAGCTGGAGGACACCGCTCGCTGCGCCCGCCGCCCTCCCGCCGCCTGCCCCGCCATGGGTCGACAGAAGGAACTGGTGGCCCGCTGCGGGGAGATGCTCCACATCCGCTACCGGCTGCTTCGCCAGGCGCTGGCCGAGTGCCTGGGGACCCTCATCCTCGTGGTGAGTGGAGGGAGCCGGGGGAAGTCCTCTGTCTCCAGCACCTGCAGTCCCCGATCCCTCTGTTACTGGAGGGGCTGTGCTTTTTAAGACCCGCCTTCTACCTTCCCCCATGCTTAACCCAGGAGGATCAAGCTGACCCCCAAAGCCTCTTTCCCATAGTTCTAACCACATCTCTGACAGCTCTGACTCTTGCCAGAATGACAGCTGTTACTCCCCAACGACAGATATGATTCTTTACTCTCCACCCATGGCCCAGCCCACAGGCTGGGTTCCCAGAGTCCCAAGCCTTGGGAGGCAGTGGGGGCAGAGGAAATGGGCCCCATTAGGTTATTTGGGTCCTGAGTATCTGGCCTCTAATGGATAATTAAGCCTCAGAAAGTCCAAAAATTGCAATGAAGTGAAGACAGTTTGCCACAGGTCAGGGCAGAGGGTGGAGGCCACACCGGGCTGTAAACAGCAAAGTGGGAAGAAAGGAAGACCCTGAAGACAGGAGGTTGTGGAAGGAAGGTGGTGTCTCTGCCTCTTGCCAAGCGACTCCCAGACTCTATCAATTGCACAGACAGATGTTGTCAGCTTCTGTGCAGTTTCTGGCACTTTGAGTTACTCCCCAGACTCTCAGTTACTCTGGGTTCTCTGAGTGAGATATTTCCCCTGCCTGGGTTACTCCTTAGTCCCCTTTACTACTTGGTTACACCAGTTTTGCACCAGGTTGTTCCTGGGTGACTCTGTTTGCACTTCTTGGGTCTGGTGGATACACCAGTTATGGTTTCTATTTCCTGTCCCAGTTACTCTGATTTTCAGTTGCTCATGTGGTTACACCTGTTTTCTTCTGGGTTGCTTCTGGGTTCAGTTGCTCCGTTGCAGGGGGTGGGTTACTCTGTTTCTGCCCCAGTCCCAGCTCTAGGTAATACAGACCAGCCAGCCCTTGGTGGACTAGGAATCTTAAGTAGGAGCAAGTAGGGCTGGGGAACACCCGCCCCACATGGACGTGTGTTGGGGGTAGGCTCTATGGGGAGAGGAGGGCTGAGACTCACCTCTGGCTTCGAAGAACAAGAAGAGGGGAAACCAGGTGAGGCATTTTATCCACAGACCCTTATAAGACTAGTGGCCCTTGTAGTCGTCCCTACTCCCTCTTGTCCATCAGTGCCAAGAAGGGAGTGGGAGGAGGCATTTATCACCCTTCTGCCCTGGAGCCCCCTCTCTATCTGATTTATGAGTCCATTTTCACAGAGGGGCAGCCTCATCCCCTCCCAAGTCTCAGTTCGCTTCCCCCACAAAAGGAGCAGTCACGCCTCATGCTGAGCTCAAGGATCATTTGGCTTATCCCAGACCACGAAAGGAGGGTGTTAGATTTGTGGAGAAGGCTTTCAGGTTCAGGTGGATGTAAGGCGTTGGGTGTCAGTGAAAAGGAGAACCACAAAGGCTGCCCAAACAGAAGGGGCAGGACTGAGCGTGCCCCCAGTGGTAGATGAGGGCCTGCGTGTATACTTCTGTATGTTGGGGTCCTAGAGCCTGTGGTCGCAGAATGATGATTGGCTTTGGGGTCAGGGTGAGAGTTGGGGGCTGGCCAAGAACCCAGGGCATAGGGTGGGGGAGGAAGAGGAAGATTAGCCCCAAGGTGGTGAAACTGGCTTTGACAGCTCCTCCCTCCAAGGCCTCCTGGGATGGTGCCAGGTCTGGGCCTCAGGCCGGCAGGGAACTGAGGCCAGGGCCTGCCAAGTGGGGCAGGATGTCCCAGACCTCCACAGCCTGTCCCCATGCCCCCCATACACTCCCAGTCTCTGATCTTTGCCCTCACCTGCCTGCACACCTTTGTCCTGCATCACTGCAGCTGGCTTCCCCACTATTTCTTGGTCTTTCTGCAGTATGATAAACAAAATGCTTAACAACCCAATGCAACAGGCACTGACTCATCAGAATGGACACTTCATACTTCGCACAGGTGCTGGAAACTGCGTGATGTTGATAAAACCTTTAGTTACGGGCACATGGCATAGAAGACCCAGAGCAGGAGCTGGAGCAGCTTTGAGGGACACTCAGGAAGCTCAGGGCAACAGTTCTTTACAGCTGGTACAGAAGTATTTTGAGAGGGCTGCCTGGTTAGCTCAGTTGGTTAGAGCGTGGTATTATAACACTAAGGTCAAGGGTTTGGAACCCCATACTGGCCAGCTGCAAAAAATAAAAAATTTAAAAAAGAGAAGTATTTTCACATTTAAACAAGAGGAACAGGCGTACAGTACAGTCTGTACTTGCAAAACATCAGAGACCTTAGTCCCCTTTAATCACCCCCATCCCTGGCAGAAAGTTTAGGACAAATCTCCCTATTTCCACTGCCCTGGGTCCTGGACTGGGGAAAGTGAGAGGAGCCACTCAGATCTCTGTCTTTAGGACCTCCAAATTTGAGTGGGAAACTTGGACCCCTGAGGGCAGAGAGGTCAGGGCAGGTGGAGAGAGGAGGCTCTGGGACAGGGACAAGGAGGATGACGGTGCTGAGAGGGGGACACGATGAGGGCTGGGGCTCTGACATTCTAGATTCAGATGCGGATTCAACTTCACTTCTGGCATTTCCTCTACCGTACCCCTGATCACCCCACCACCACCACCACCTGGGCTCTGCTTTGGGGCAGCTGGGGGATAAGTAAAACCCTTCCCACCTTGATGCATCAGGCCTGAAGGGCTGGGGGAGAAACTGCTAAGAGGAAAGCTGTTTCCCTACACCCGCTCCTGCTGGGATTCAAGAAAAATCATCGAGGTGGTTCAACCATCTTCTGCGGTCCCAGTCACAGACCCTGTTTCCAGTCTTTTCCATAGGGCCTGTATATTAGAGTTGGGACATGGTGGGTAGGGGTACATGTCTCCTTTTTCTGGGGAGTGCAATTGCAGCAGAAGGGGTTCAGGTTGGATTCTAGGAAGGACCTTGAGCCCTCCCAGGAGTGACAGTGGAGGTTGCTGGCTTCATGCCTTCCTTCTGGAGTGAGAGTTGCTGGTCCACGCACTCCCTGCCTTGTTCTGTTTCCTGACACAGATGTTTGGCTGTGGCTCCGTGGCCCAGGTTGTGCTCAGCCGGGGCACCCACGGTGGTTTCCTCACCATCAACCTGGCCTTCGGCTTTGCCGTCACTCTGGGCATCCTCATCGCTGGCCAGGTCTCCGGTAAGGCCTTAACCCCACCCTCCGTCCTTGCGCCTCAACAGCATTCCCACCAGGTGTTCCACTGTGGAATGGGGTGGGTCGAGGACATTCCCAAGGGCAAATCATAGCTACGGCCTCAGCTTTGGGACCTTGGGAGAGGAGGGTGGAGAAGGGACTTCACACTTAGAACCTTCGACTCTCACCTTGGAATCAGAGATTATCAGAGTTGGCCTGTTACATAGTCCAACCACCATCTTTTACTCAAAACTCTTCCCTGTAGCCCTTTTTGCTTGGCACATGGGGGGCAATATGAAGGGAGCCCTGGCCTCCCCACTGTGGCAGGTTGTAGCTAATAGGTCCCATCTCCCCTCTGCCTAGGGGCCCACCTGAACCCGGCTGTGACCTTTGCCATGTGCTTTTTGGCACGTGAGCCCTGGATCAAGCTGCCCATCTACACCCTGGCTCAGACGCTGGGAGCCTTCTTGGGTGCTGGGATCATTTTTGGACTGTATTATGGTAAGCATTCCCCACCCTTCCCTCCTACTCAGCTCTGCCCCCCTCCCTCTGCTTGGGACCTGCTGGCACCAGGCCTTTCAATGACAGACTGCTGGGCCTGCCCAGGCCCCGGGCTCATGACTCACTCATTCACGCACAGGCCCAAGGTGGGGGGCACGAGGGAAAAGAAACGAGTTGGGCAACAACAGAGTCTCAGGCCCTCCACCCCACCCCACTCCACCCCTCTGCCTCCCGAGTCATACAGCAGTGATTATACTCACCCATGACTCCTGGGGGTGGGGGGGCAGGGAGGGCCCAGCCTGAGAGGGGAGGCTGGGCTCAGGCCTCTGCCCTTACACACTGTGGGTCTAATCTGTCACCAGATGCAATCTGGAGTTTCGCTGACAACCAGCTTGTAGTCTCGGGCCCCAATGGCACAGCTGGCATCTTTGCCACCTACCCCTCTGGACACTTGGACATGGTCAATGGCTTCTTCGACCAGGTATGGGCTGGGAACGTGTGAGGGGAAACAGGGAGGAGGACCAAGCTGCCCTGGTTGCTCATGGGCTGGCTGGGGGACAGAACTCCTTGGCTACAGCAGGGTTTCTCAATTTGTGGGGACACCTGCATCAGAATATGGTGGCAGGTACCTATAAAACATGCATCTCCCCAGCGGATTCTCATGCACTCAAACATTCTAGCACCACTGCTTTAGAAAGCAGAGTGTGGAGATGACAGAGTCTAAGAGCTAGAGGGAAGGCAGAGGACCCAAGGAGGGGTCGATTGGCAGGGGCTCAGGGAGCTGCTCCTCACCCTGTTCTCCCTACTCCCCAGTTCATAGGCACAGCCGCCCTCATTGTGTGTGTGCTGGCCATTGTTGACCCTTACAACAACCCCGTCCCCCGTGGCCTGGAGGCCTTCACTGTGGGCCTGGTGGTCCTGGTCATTGGCACCTCCATGGGCTTCAACTCTGGCTACGCTGTCAACCCTGCCCGGGACTTTGGCCCCCGCCTTTTCACTGCCATCGCTGGCTGGGGCTCTGAAGTCTTCACGTGAGTCCAGCCCCCACCCAGCTTACCCCAGCCTGCCTCCCCTCTGCCCTGCCCCACCTGCCCCTGACCACGTGTGTCTGTGTCTGTTCTCTAGGACCGGCCGGTACTGGTGGTGGGTGCCCATTATCTCTCCACTCCTGGGCTCCATTGCGGGTGTCCTTGTGTACCAGATCATGATCGGCTGCCACCTAGAGCAGCCCCCACCCTCCACAGAGCAGGAGAATGTGAAACTGGCCCATGTGAAGCACAAGGAGCAGATGTGAGTGGGCAGGGGTCATCTCCCCACTGCCCTCGGCCTTGAGCATCCGCTGACTGTGTAGGGGCCACTCCCTAGAAGCCCTCTTCAGGATCCCCCGCCCAGGCTAAGAAGCTCCCTATCTACCCTCACCCCACTGGACAGCCCCCTGCAGGATTTCCACTGGACCCTGCCCATAGTGGACCTTAGGCCACTGCCCTTAGGTGGGACATGGAATAGGGCCAGTACATCCTTTTTTCTCCCAAAAGGAGGGAATGGGCAGCAGGTATGTGTGTGTGTTATGTGTGTGCACATGTGTGCATGTGCAAATGTGTGCAGATATTCAGGGAAGATATTTGCCCAGATATTTAGAGCAAAGGACCAAGCGGAAAGGATTCTAGCTGTGGGGGAAGCCCAGAGAAGGAGGAAGGTGACGTATTCATCTGTGAGTGAGGGAAGTGGCAGGGTGTGCGTGTATCAGGGGCTCTGTGCAGGAAGGTCCAGATATATGTGTTTCTGAGAGAGTGTGTGTGCATGTGTGTGTGTGCGTGTGTGCCCTTTTTTCTAAGCGGGCGCTTCTATAGGCTTTTGGGAGTAAGGGTGGACGTGGGTAGGGCCGGAGGGAGGGGCTGCAGCTCAGGTGTGGAGTGCTGGTTATACCTAAGAGCTGTGTAACATGCTTCTGTCATAATGTAAGCATGAGGGGGTGGGTAAAGTCCAGGTCGTAAGTTTCATGTTTGCTTTGTTTTTTGTTTTGTTTTGTTTTTATTTTAAAAAATATCTGTAACATATGTTACAGTCTTAGGGATAGAGGTTGGAAGACCTCACTTTAAAAAGAGTCCTGACTCCTTTAATCCTACACTCAACAATGTACTCTTTTGCCTTTTATAAAAAAACAATAAAATAGTATGCCAAAAACTGTCAGTTGTGCAAATATCTTTCCACTTGCTCTGCTGTTTTTCTGGGGCCAGTTGAGGAGCTTCACAGTATTGGGCCACAATTACTCGGGGTGCCCAGGTCAGTGTCTAAATCTGGTCAGGTACCCTGGGGATCACACTCTAGCACTGCGAGGGTGGGCAGGGGTCAGTCACACAGAGAGGTTAGAGAGCCTCTTCAAGCCTCTCAGTGGTCCCAAACTTCCCCCCAAGCTTCCGTCTTTCTGGGCACCCTCAGCACAATAAATGGCATCTTCTCCCTAATCCCTGTACCCACACATCACCCCAGGAAGGCAAGCTTGAGCCCCAGGCAGAGCTGCCCAAAGGGGAGAACTGCTGCTCAAGAGGGAGTGAGTTCCCTGTTCCCAGAGACCAATTAGACCGGAACCTGTATTGTCCTCTGTTCGGCCTCCATCACTCCCACCTGTTGGAGTGAGCAGGACCGAAGCCATGGTGGGACCTAAAATCACGAGCTCTAAATGATTTTTAAAAGACAGCTTTTTTCTTGGCACGCATTTCTCTGAGTTCCCTCTTTTCTCATGGTCATTTGGTATTTCGGACCTTGGTTATGGGGCAAGATGACATTATTTACATGAATGTAAAATTTTCCAGCCAGCCTGAAGCTGCAGACTTGCACGTACCATCCAGGCCCTGAGATAAGGATGGGAGCAGAAACCAGATGGAGTCTCGGTGAGACCTCGCACCTGACTCATAGACATGAAGCCCTCAGTGTTCACGTGCGCCTCCCTCCTGCTTTTCATTTCCCACATTCCATTCCCTCATCCCCCTCTTTAAAATCCCCTCAGTAAACCTGAGTCTTTGAGATGGCTTTAGCCTGGACAGTCTCCTTCAAGTTTACCGGAGAGATAGTTAGGCAAACATCTCTCCTTAGGTCACTGGTATTCCTGAATAAAAGCTGACTTCCATTTTCAGCAACATTTGACTTTTGAGTTGTTTGCTTTTGTCTGGAGGCAGGCAGCTGGACCTGTGAGATCAATATCAATTTTGGGGAGCCTCACCAGGAGCTGAGTGTGCCCTGTAACACACCCAGACCTCAGCCACAGGCCCCTTAGCAGCCTCATGCCTCCAGGCCTGCCCCAAACAGTCCACACAGCAACGAGTGGGATCTTTCTGAAACTCCTGCTGGAAGTGGGGCTCTTTCCATGGCTCTCCCTGCCCATCCAAAGACAGTCCAAAACCCTCCATCTGACATTCAGGCCATCGAGGACCCAGCCTTTGTTCCTACCCATTTCCTTACAATGCTCTATCCACCCCCAGACCGGAACCCCACACCAGCCAGCTGCCTAAATAAGTAAATAAATGAGAAGCACAAAATTATAAAGGAAAAAAAAAAGTTCTCCTGATCTGCTTTAATGCCTCTTCCTCCAGGAAGTCGTCCTCACTCTCCCCAACTCTTCCACCATCTTCTAGTGAGCTGCCGAAGCCCCAAGACCGCAGTTGTGTTTGTCCCCATCTACCCCTCTGCTTCTCTCCTCAGCCTGAGGCACCTCTGTCTGTGCCCGGTAAGGCAGGGGTTGCAGCAAGGGGCTTGGCACTCCTGAGCCCAGGAAGCTCTTCTCATTTTCTCTTTCCTTACCAGATTCTTCTCAAGTTTCACTGGGAATACAAGGGAGGGTGTCCCAAGCCCTCCTGCAGAGTTAACCCTATGGGAGCCAGAGGATCCCTGGGACCAGCAGGAGAATTGTGGTTTTTAGAGGCTAAGCCAGGAGAAATATAATTTTTAGAGGTTTAGCCAACTCTTGCTCCCCAACCTTCACAGATGGCGAGGCCGTGGCCCAGAGAGGGTGGGTGACAAATGAAGGGTCACACAGCCAGGACTCTGCTTGGGGAGGTGGGGGTGGGAGATGGCGATTCCACCTCAGGTCTCTACCCCTTCCTTGTCCCCAGCTCCCAAGAGGTGTGTCTGGAATGTTGGAGGGACCTAAGCCAGAGGGAGTGTCTCCTTCCCAGGCCCCCAGGGGGAGGAAGGGCAGACCTTGGGAGGAGAACATGGCTGCTGAGTTTCATTCCAGCCACACGGTCCCACCTTTTGTGCCCCCACCCTGCGGTCCTTCCTAGCACGCCTTATGTCCTTCTGTCAATCCTTTCTCTGTAATCCTGCTGTTGGCCCTCACTAGTCAGCCCAAGGGTGGTGGAAGGCCTTCTGGTGCAGTGATTAACAGGTAGTCAAAGCTGGATTCCAGGCCCAGCGTGGCCTCTCTCTAGCTGTGTGACCCTTGAGTGGTCCTATTCTTTCCCCAACCTCAGTTTCCTTATCCGTGAATCTGGGGATAATGAGAAGAGGAAATAATGGAAGATAATTCAGAAAAAGAACTTAACACAGTGACCGGCTGTTTGGTAAATACTCAATAAATGTCATCTCATGATTTTTCTTACAGAATTAGAGATGGGGGGTGAGGCAGAGGTGGAGCAATGGGGGGTGGAGGAGGGATGCCGAAGGCGTTTTTTTAAAGGTCATTGGAACTGGCCGGTTGCTCACTTGGTTAGAGTGTGGTACTGATAAAGGTCATTGAATTCAACATCCTCTTCCTCCTCAGACTCCTTCCACGGATTCTAAACTTCCCGAGAGAGGGGAGGGAGGAGGAGTGGGGGTGATGGTTGGCGGTACCCTGACTTTAGAAGGCTCTTGAGAGGGATGGGGGCAGTACACAGGTACACAGGCAGAGGAGCACGCAGCAAGGGAACATGCTGGATGCAGGGTTAGACCACGTGAGGAAAGGTCAAGCCTGGCTAGCAGCAGGAGCAGCAGGTCACGGCAGGGCTGGTAGGGACGCGAGCTGTGCACCAGCTGTGGGAGCCCTCCAGCAGCGGAGGGAACCTCCAAACCTCCCCACCTCACCTCCAGACTGTGCCTTCCATCAGCAAGTTCTAGAAAGAAAACTTTTCACCTCCTTTAGAAAAGTGTCTTCTCTCACTTCAGGTAATCCGTTTTCTGTAGTGGACATGAAGGGAGAATTGCCCCATGGGACGGTAGCCATATGCCAGGCCTCACCTCTGTCCCGTCTTGCTATGCTGAGTCCTCTCCACAGCCCACTTTGGAGGAGCCTGTGTGTCCTTAAAGTTCTGACTTGCTTGGATTGAAATCAGCCTTCCTGAAACTTGAGCTTGGTTCCTGTTTCTTTGTGTGCCTGCTCTGTGTGCGTGCACAGGTGCAAGTGTGCCTTTCTCAGTGTTTCTCAGTGTTCCTGTCTTTCTTCTAGTATATCTAGTTATATCTCTGTGGGTCTGAGCCTGTGGCTGACCATGTCTCTGTCTCTTTCCATGTCTCTGTCACTACCTGACTTTGTGTCTGGGTCTTTCTTTGTGTACCTCTAAGTGGGCATCCTGTGTACTCAGAGCACATCTCTATATGTACCTCTGAGCCCATCTCTCAGTGTACCTGAGCATGTCTATGGGTGTCCTTTGAGCATCGTCTCTGCAGGAACTCAGTGCATATCTCTGTGCATACCTACAGTGACTCTCCTGCCAGCCCCTTCCTGCTTGTCTTACCCCAGGGCATACCTCCTCCTTAATTCCTGCTAATGAGCTCCCTCCTTCTTGCTAACTCTTACACCTCGATTTTGTTTTTAGAAAACTTGGGTGGGGCACCCCTAGGCCTGGGGAAACATGGGTGGGGTAGAGTTGGGTGGGGTGGGAAGGGTAGAAGAGGGACGACTCCACCCAGTACAGGCAGAGACCCCAGAGGCCAGAGACAGCACAGTCACCCAAGGAAGGGTCTGAGAAAGTGTGGCCTAAGCAGGCCTCGAGCCTCCTCATTGGGAAGAGGGAGTCTGTCCAAAGGAAGGAGATACTGAGACACCAGGTCCCTCGGGGAGATGGAAAAGGGGCTTGCTGGGAGACACCTCAGAGTCCTAAGAGGGCAGAGAAATGGGTGTGTCTGCTCAGCAGCTGGTGGTGGCCTCCTCAGGGACTCAGGGCCTCTACACCCGGGACTTTAGCCTTTGGTACCAGGTTTATTTGAGGAAGGGAGAGGGTGGCAGTAGGAATAAAAAGGTGCTATCTGGTCTGGGCACCTTGGCTGTGGAGGGTGCCGAGAGAGACCACCTCCTCTTTGTGTAAAGGAGAAACTGAGGCCCAGAGTTTCACATAGGACCACAGCGCAGTGCAGCAGAGCCTGGACCAGAGCCCAGCCTTTTCAACCCCTTCCCCAGATAGCATTTGGCAATACCTCAGGGAGCAGGACTCTGGATCCAGATTGCCTGGTTTCCAAATCAGC